TATATATATATCTATAAATGGACTATATATATATAAAAAAATGGAATATATATATAAATGGAATATATATATATAAATGGAATAGATATATGTGTATATATATATATAAATGGACTATGGTTCTGGGTCTTGGGAAAGAGACCATTCAAAAGTTTTCAGACAGAATATTTTCTTTCTGATGCCAAGGTAAGTATGTCACTCCACTGACCTCACTCAGAAATGCCCTATCAGTGTGGGATCCCTTCAGTACTTTTCCTCAGAGTTCACCTGGCAGACACTGCTGCCTTTTTTACAGATTGAGGGAAGGAACACCAACTTCTACACATTCCTCTAGTGGTTTAGTTTATTAGGGAAATGATGCATTTAACACCCCTACAAACAAATCGGCTGTGCCATGGGATATTAACTTTCTCTTGCCTGAATTAATGAAATCTGTTGGAGGATATTTTTTTTCCCCTAACCTCAAGTGCCTTAAATAGAAGGTTATTTTCTGGCAGAAGCAAATGCAGTTCACAGACGCAATAAACTGCAAGGTCTAGTGACTGAACCACAAAATATGAAAGCTAAAATGATGTTGCATGTTAATTCAGAATTCTCCTCTGTGGAATAATTCCATGGCAATCAGGCAGCCGTGTCAATATTTTGTTTCTCTGTGCAGCAGTTTTAGAAAAAGACTAACTTTAAAAAAGAAGGCCTGGAGGAGAGAGGGAAGTAAGGCAGAAGGGAATAAATCTGTCCATTTTTTAGGAGGAACAAATGCAAATATCCAGGAAAAAAAAGGCTAAACTTTGGGTTTAACATTACCTTCTGTACCAACGACTGTCCAGGGAACCTGTGTAGGAGAGAGCTGGCTACTTGTGTTTCTCATTGATATTCCTCAGTGATACTCATGCTTGTAGGTCAAGTAAAAGGTCATTCAACCAAAGCAGAAGAGAAGATTCCTGCCAGCCTCAGGTTAGTGCTGCCTCTGGAGGTTTATATGTCAACCACTTGGATTTCACTGCATACCTTTATTAAATACCAGAGCTACCATGTAGTCATTCAGGAATTAATGAAAACCATGTAAAGTCTTCTTAATTAAAATACTCCAGGCATATCATGGTTGTGATGTATGTGATTGAGAAGATATCTGAAGTTTGAACTGCATGAATTCTGTGTATCTTTGTCTGTTTCTTGTGAGCTAAAAGAGAGATATTTAAATGTCAGTCTGAAACTTGTGAACCAAACTTCCTTGGAAAAAAACCCCCAATTTCCAAACTGAATCCAAAGTATGAGATATCAACTAAACCACATCTTTGACTTTTTTGTTTTGTTGCTACCATATTGTACTCTTAACACCAGTGGGAAATAGATCCAGCAGTCAGCTGCCAGCAGAAATCTCCAAAGGATAACTCATGTTTTCTTCCTCAGCTGCTGTCAGTGTGGTATTTTTGAGTTTGCCTCTACAGGAAAGGTTCAGAAAGGGTGTTGGAAGAAGAGCTGATGTTAACAATAACCAGTTTGGGTTCTATTCTGTGGAAAAGCAAGCCTCCCTCTTTTAGATTTAGAAACTTCTGCATTAGAAACATAAAAACAGAGTAAAAAGGGCAGGCTTTTAATGAGCCTTTGAGAGATTTAAGAATAGCCTCTACCATTTAAATGTTTGACAATACTATGAATTTTTAACTAACCTTTTCATGAAGATCATTATTCATAATTACTTTTAACAAACTGGGTAATAAATTTGAAACATGTAATTTAAAGCATCTCTGTTAGTGCTGTGATTATGGCTAAATTCAAACTGATTTTTTTGTTTCTTTAGTAGCTTTAAGGGCTCGAAGTACTGAGGGAATGGAGAAGAAAAAAAGAAAAAAGGAACTGCAAAATGATGGAAATAGAGGAAAGCTAAAGGCTGTGTGTGTTCTAATGTACCATTGCAAAGTTTAGGGGTTGGTGTTTCCACTACAGAATGACCACATTAGTATCAGTGAAGAGATTTCCCCCAAGTATTCTTGTAATGATATTTGCTGTCCTTGGGAGGTGTAGACTTCTATGGGAAATAGAAAAAAGAATTATAGCTGTTATGATAGAACTGCTTACGGTGATGAGAAGGACTATCTTTGCCTTTACTTCTTTTCCAGTGCTTTAAGCCTTGTAGGGAATTTCTATTTCTACGTGTTAGCTTTGTGACCAGCATTTTTTTTTCTTGATTCTGGGCCCAACACAGAAAAAAAAAATCCGCTTGATCTGGTAATTATTGATATCATATTAAAAAGAGAATACAACTCTGGGCACCTACAGAGGCCCCACCCTTCAGTCTTTCAAAAATCCACCTTCAGTTTCAGTTGAGAAAGAAGGTTTTAAGCATCTGCTTTTTCTGTTCTCTAAGTGGGAAATGATCCAGTATGTCTTTGCCTCTGTGAAAAAATCTTTGAGCCTGCTTTTTCAGATCCTCAGAACTTGGAGAAGGAATTAGATTATTGTCCTTGTTAGTGAATAGCACAGTTTTAGTAGAGATGCACATTATACGTGTTATGAACTTATTTCTGGTTGTAACATCTCAGATTATGCTCATTCCGGTAAAAATAAGATATATTTGTGGTTCAGTAAGACAGTGGATATAGATTGTACAGAAAATGGACTTCCCTCAGTTTTTCAAGTACTTAAATTCATTTTTGCTTTCTTTTAATAACAGTGCTTGTTTTCTGTAGTTTAAGAGTTAGTTCAATCACAGTGTTGCTATCATACTTGTTAAATAATGTTTATTTTGAATTGCTGTTCACCATGACTCTTATTACCAATAATACCAAGGGCCTAGTGTTACATTTTGACCTCTTATTAGTATTCTTACCATACTAAATAGAAGACTCTTTCTTCAATAATTGATAAGATAAAAAAAATGTAATGTTCTGCAACTACCTCATTTTTCCTCATTTGGCTCCCTTATAAAGATGCTGTGCAGCCATCTTCCTAAGCAGAGAGCACATTCCCTGCCTAAGGCCAAAACAATTATCTGCCATCATAAAGAAGTTAAACCAGTGTGGACGAGGGGGAGAAAAGGCTTGAAGTGCTAGTTATGAATTCTAGCAGTGAATCTGCAGGAAAGTAAAAAGAATCAGTAAAGGGTACCTCTGGAAAGCAAAGCCATGTTCCATTTGGCATAAAAAACACTGGGCTGCAGAGTTAGGACAAGCTGGAAGGGTGAGTGTGCTGTTTTAAATGACTGTGACTTGAGAAATAGTTTGGCTAAAGATACATTTTTAGATCTCTCTATAGTTAGACACATAAAAGGGTAGCGTTGCCAACTGAAAACTGCGTCATGATATATTATGGAGTATTTTGGCTTATGAAACAATTTGTCCTTTCCTGCTTTAAGTTGCTGCGTTATTTTCGTTTCTTTTTCAGTTACTGCACTTGAAATAATGCCTTTGTCACTGGAATCAGACATAAGCTTGTATCTTAATGAGCAGTACTTTATGAAGCAGCAAATTTACAAAAAATACACAATGTTCCTTTTATCCATATGATTGCAGAAACTGAGACCTTAAGAGACATTTGTGTTTTTGCATAATTTGTCTGCTTTCCTTTAAGCCAAGTATAAGCATACTAATCAACTTTCTTTTTTTGCTGTTTTCTGTTTGTTTGTTTGTTTGTTTTGTGAAGGGTGTTTTTCAAGGGTCTATTAATTTTGGTGTCACATAGCTGATCTCATGGATAAACTGCTTGTTTACGGATGCTGAATGTCTAAATAATCATGAGACCAGAATATAAAACACATGATGGAGAATTTTTTTGTCTTGGTTTAGAAATTTCTCATATGAGCATAAATATTAACTGTTGATTACATTTCCAGCAAGACATAGCTTTTAAGTGAAAATATTTAAGAACCATTTTGCTACAGAAGAATGCTGATTTTATAAAACTCTTCCCTCTGCTCCTTTCTGCCCTCCCTTGCCTCTCTCTGATATAGGTGTACCTAATAATTTGATATAGCTCCTCTTTTTCAAAATGTGGTTGTAAAATATAAGTAATAATGTAGCTGTTTCCTGGACTAGCTGTCTTTCATTGAGATTAAAAAAGATGTAGTCACAGTGAGGTTTTAGTTACAATTCATTTACATTAGTATTTTCCACTCATTAACTTTGTAAGTGTGAATGGGACTGTGCTGTACTACTTGATCTATAAACACAGAGGCAGTAGAAGATCCATGTCTTGCAAGAATAGAAAAGCCAAATATAAAGCAGAAACCAGAATCAAGCAGAGAAACAGAATCAGTGGGATGGTGTCACAACCCTGGCTGGCACAGTGGGCTGCAGTTTCAGTGCTGTAACAGCCTTTGTTGTCATCCTGGCAGCACAAGGAAGGTGAATTTTAAGGGGCTGTTTCAGGAAGACTAACCCTTTAGGATTGCCAGCTGGTGGAATTGTCCTTTCCATTAAATGGCTCTTGGAGGCTTCCAGCCTGGGTCGAGAAGTACAAATAGGTATCATAATGTTGAGGTAGAGAATGGGATAGGACAAGAAGGGTAAAAAGGTGAAAATGAAGAAAGCTGACGTTTATGCAATAAAGACAATTGTGTAAATGGCTTTAAAAAAGTGCTGATGGAGTACAGGCGAGATTCCTTGGGGCTTTACATAGTTGTACTGGGGTTTACAATGAGGAGAATGGAAACATTTTTAGGTTGCATAACAGTGCACTGCTTCCCCACCATGACCCAGAGGATTCATGTTGTAGCAGCCATTGCTAATGGAATACTGCAGTGTGAATATCTTCACGGATAAACCTTTTCTTTTGTGGTAGCCCAATGGTAGCCACTTTTGGAATGGGATTGAGCAGTGCAAGGTTGCGTTTATTTGGGCCTAAACAAGGAATGCAGCCATGCAGAAGACAGGATGAGATTTTTTTTGTTTCTTTGCTTGTGGATTTTTTCCTTTTATTTTTCTTTTTTATTCTTTTTTCCTTTTTTT